ACATGCCCCAAGGGCCGGGACCCACCCTGAGGTGGCCTGCCACCTTCCATCTGGGCAGCAGGTTAGAATCGGCTTTGAGATCTGCAGAAAAGCCCCAGAGAAGGGGTGACAGCACAGGGGACCCCCCAGTGCGACGGGAACCGACAGCATCCTACTGTGGGGCCCTGCCCCTGGTCCCCGCGGGAGGGCCTGCACTTCTCCGTTGTTCATCATGACCACTTTCCGGCTGCCTTCCTAGGGGACAGGGCCCTGTGAGGATGGAGCCTGAGTGGGGAGCTCAGTGGTCATTGGGCTGTTGCAGCCCCCATCCCGTGTCCGCCCAGTGCCTGGATTTCTGTGCTGAAACAGTGATGGAGCCCTGGCTTGGAGTCCATGGGAGAGAAGGCTGAGAGCAGGCAGCGTGTCTGCCCTGGCCGTGGAGAGTGGTGGCACATGGGCCAGGCATCTGTCACCCGCCCTCGAGAGGAGGGTCTCTGCCCAGCACTGTTGCCATCTGGGACCGTCTGCTCTGGGGACCGCCCCATGCGTTGTAGGTTGTGGGGCAGCACCTCTGGCCTCCACCCACTAGATAACTCCCACCCCAGCTGTAACAATCCCAAGTGTCTCCAGACGTCACCACACATCTGCTGGTGCTGGGGGCGGGTGTTGAGAACCACCCTTGTGGAGTCTAGAATCTGCCCTTCTCCCAGGAAGGGGCACATCTCCCATCTTTGTCCCATGGTGGCCGCCAGACGCGGGGCAGCTGCTGATGCTTCTCAGTAGATAGAGGCGTGACTGCCTCCCTGGCTTCTTGCTGCCCTGGAGACAGGCAGGCAGGCCCTCCCACTGGCCCTCCAAACCTCCCTAGAGCCCACCTGCTGTTAGGGCTCCAGCCCTGTCAGGACGGCCAGACAGAGCCACTGCCCCAAGTGGTCACCCCTGAGCTCCTTCAGGCTGCTCCAGCCCTGTGGGGGCCAGGCCGGGTGCTGCACAGAGCCAGCAGACCTGGCGCCTGCGTCGTGGCGCCCATTAAGAGAAGGGGCAGTGCGCTCAGCCAGCGTTTGGTCGGCTGCCTAGTGGAGCTTCGGGTTTCTAGTCTGGGCTGGTGTCCAGCACAGGCTGAGGCCAAGGAAACCCAGGAGCTCTGCCATGGGGGTGCATGTGTGCCACCCACTCTCGGGGTGATTCACTCTCAGATCCCTCCCTCCCACTGGTCCGCAGTGGGGCACACTGTCTATGAGAGGCAGGAAACAGAGTGAGGTGGTGGGGCAGGGGGACAGCTCAGAGGAACTTGTGGCCGGTTGATTGGGGCCCAAAGCAGCCAAATCCTTGGCCGAGCTTTGCCTGCCCTCCCCCACTCCACCCCACCCCCTGTCAGGAGAGAAGTGGGAGGTCTGCTGGCTGCTCTCAAGGCGGCAGCTCTGGGGGTGCCGTCCCTCTGTGCTCCTGGATGTCCGCTTTCCTCCGGGGGACATACGGAGTGAGGCCCCAGACAACTGGGGGAGGTCCCGGCAGGACAGTGAGATTCTTCAATCCGCACTTGGTCAGAGCTGCTACTATTTTCTTGGGGTTTCAGAGGCTGTGAAATTGAGCTGTCAGTCCAGGAAATACTTTTCTGTGGCAGGAATTCCACCCCCCGCATGACCATCTCAGGGAGCCGACTGCATTGACATATCAGAACTCTGAGCTGGTGACCACAGAGCAAAGCGACCCCTTGATGAGAATATTGAAGCTACCTAGGCCTTGGGGCCGGAAACGTCTATTCTTACCTGAAAACCCCAGGCTGTATTTCAAGCCTCGAATTTTATCGTCGGCAGGAGTACTAGCCATCCCCCTGCATAGCAATGTCTCCGACCCACATGTGCGCACACACACACACCCTGTGTCACTAATTCGGGATTGTGCTTGAGATGGAGCCAGTTTTAACAGCTGCACCAAAACTCATAACCCAGCACATGTGAAGAGAAATTCAATTTGAATAATAAACAGGAGATATAAAAGTATATCCTGATGTAAATGGGGCAGATTAATGAGAAAATTAAAATTCAAGGCAAGCCGGCATTACTTGGAAGGAACTTTTCCAAGAAAGACTTTTAATGTTCCAGTGGTTGCAAGACCCTGACCTGGCAGCACCCTGTGGGGATCTTGATCTTTTGGAGATCCCGGTAGCGGGACCAGTCCTAGGTGGCCTCCCCTAGACTCTCAGGGGCACCCGCAGCGTCCCAGGAGAACGGCAGGCCTGGGGTGGCGAGGACTTGGGCTCATGCACGCAGGACCCAGAGGTGAGAGGTGCTGGCCCTGACCTTCACAGAGGCCATCCTCGTGGTCCCTGCTGTGTGCCAGCAGGTCCCCACATTCCTGGGCAGGTGGCCTGAGCCTCAGTTTCCCCAAGTAGAACAGATGCTCCTTCCCATTCCCCACAGCAGAAGTACGTGGGCAAGGCCCTGGGATGTGCAGGGCTCTTTGGATGTAGAGGAATGCACATTCCAGAACATTCCACGGGGGAGCAGCTGGGAGGGAGTGCTCTGCTGAGGGGCTGTTGAAAGGTGTGCCATCCTGGGCCAGCTCTCTGCACTGCCCCCACCCGCCCGGCCTGCTGACCACCCTGTGACCAGACGGTGCTGGGCCCTGGGCCTCCAAGACAAATCACATGCAGGCAGCAGGTGGGGTGAGGTGCCAGCCATCCTGGAGCCTGTTCTCAACACAAGACTGTGGCCTCCTCAGGGGGCAGGGGCGGGGGGATCTGGCTCAGGCCAGAGATCAAAGGTCCAAGCACACATGCAGGGTCAGGACTTAAGCCCCACAGAGTCCAGGCGTCCAGAATAAGACGATGGACGAGAAACAGGAACTTGGGGTCCCCCCCGCCCCCGTGGCGTTTGCCGTGGGAAATCCTCTGCTGCCTTTGAAATGCAGGCTTCAACTGGATAAAATGACAAAGTTTTACGGGAAGCTCCCTTTCACGGGTCCCCTTTGCAAGCCTCCACACGTACTATCACCTGTCCCATTCCTGGGGTGACCGAGGCTGTTATCCTTGTGAAAGGCATGGAATCCTTGGGGGTCCTCCATCCGCTGTCCCCCGTGGGGCCTCAGACCCACCGGCTGTGGGCAGCATTGACCAGTGTAGCAGCCCTGGGGTCACATCCCAGCCTGGCATGTGGGACCTGGGCCAGCGGCTTCTCAGCAGCACGAGGGCACAGACACTGTGGCATCCAGAGCCACAAGGACTCAGTTAGAAACGGTCCCCGAACTAACGAGCAGTCCCCGTCTGACTGAGAGTCCAGCTCCTTCAGCTCTGTGTGTGCCTGGCAGGCCAACCACTGTCGGGTGGATGGGAGGTGACCCAGGCACCTTCATTCCCGTTGGCGTCTTTGCTTTTGTTTCAAGCCCTCCTTCCTGCAAAGTAGTCACCTGTGAGGTGTGTGTCTGTGCCATGGCCACCCCCAGAGCCGAGGGAGCCAGGAACTAGAAACCCACCGGGCAGGTGACCCTCATCAGTGGAGAGCTGAGAGCCAAGAGCCAGCCCACCCAACCCCTGGCCTGGGAGCATTACTGGACCATTTTACAGATGATGTAACTGAGCTTTAGGAAGGGCCAGAAACTGTCCTAGTAGCCAGGGACCCTCTGAGACACTCACATTTCATGGTGTCTACTGTACTGAGCTGAATGGTGGCCCCCAAAACACATGTCCACCAGAACCTGCGAATGTGACCTTATTTGGAAAAAGGGTCTGTGCAGATGTAATTAAGGTGAGGATGGAGATGAGATCATCCTGGATTCAAGTGAGCTCTAGATCCTGCGAGGTCCCTATGAGAGACAGAAGAGGAGACACAGTGAAGCGGCCATGTGAAGACGGAGCAGAGACTGGAGTGATATGGCCACAGCCAAGGGGCGCCTGGGGGCACGAGGAGCTGGAAGAAGCAGGAAGGATCCTCCCCTGGAGCCTCAGGAGCGAGCATGGCCCTGCAACACCTGGATTTTGGACTTCTGGCCTCCAGAACCGTGAGAGAAGATGTCTCTGTTGTCTAAGCCGCCCAGTCTGTGGTTACCTGTTGGGGCAGCCCCAGGACGTTAACACATGGACCTCACTGAGCCACAGCACAGCTCCAACAAGCTTGTCTGTCCACAGGCTCCAAAACAGTGAGACTATAGTCCCAGGGGGTGCTGGGTCCTGCCCGTTGCAGGGAGAAACGGTCAGCAGAGAAGTGGACTGAACCATCCAGACCCTACCCACTGTGTCCAGGAGTACCTTGTCCATCTGGGTTAAGGACTAAGGCTGAGACACCCCCAGAAGGCGCTCACTGCACGGTCCCTGGGGGAAGAGTGTGTCCTGGAGTCAGGGCACTGTCAGCCAGACCGATCCCTCATTCCCGCAGGGTATCCGTGCTGCCGTGGTCCTGGGACAGATCTGAGTCGGCTTTGGGTCATTTTGTGCTTACAGCGGCCGGCGAGGGAGGTGGTATTCTGAGCTGCATGGCACAAGAGGGAAGCCCGGGTCAGGTTTAGCAGCTCTGGATTCTCCTGCACTAAGGGCCACAGCAAAGCTAAAACCCGCGTCCTTCCGATCTGAAGGGCATGTCGCAGGGCCTGCAGGGAACATTCTCTGGGGTGACCACTGCTGATGGACCCCTCCCTGCTGACTTGCAGACCCACACCTGCATCCGCCCGTCCCAGGCTCCCATCTCTCAGTGTATAGACGGGCGGCTGGCACTCAGAATGGCTGAGGGTTGGCAGAGCTGACGTCCCCTCTCAGGTGGACTTGGGGGCCTCTTGGGGGCCACATTCATCCAGGTCACGGCAGAATCATGCTCACTCTGCTCATTCCTGGCCCCAGGGTAAGTTTGGGAAATGTGTGCATCAGGTGGCTCAGCAGGTGCCTTTAATTAGTTGCAGTGGAAAGCCTTCACCCCAACATTTTTGTTTGTTACTGTATTTTGCTCCAGGAACATTCCAAAACTTGGGGCGTGCCCTCTGTGTAGCATTCTCTAACCCGCATTCCTTTCTGTCTGTTTGGCGTCTGCCAGGTGATGTGTCCCATCTGGACCCCAGGTTCTCCTTTGAAGGCACCAACCTGGACGTGGGGAATATCGTGTTGGCGCTGTACAGTGGCCTCTTCGCCTATGGGGGATGGTAGGTTCCAGAATGTCTGGGTCCCTGGGCCTTGGGACACACAGGCCGGGCCCCCAAGTGTCAGAAATCTGACTCTCGGCCATCCATAGGCGGTTTTAGAGAGTGGCAGGAGACCCTCTGGGAGCTGCTCTGAGCCCCACACATCCTGAAAAAGCACAGACAGGACACAGAGGAGCACTTTCCTCAGCTGTGCCTCGGCCCCTGAGGAGAGGGCCCTGTAGATAAACCTTGGCTGACAGGTGGAAAGCATCTGGGCTCAAAAAGCTGGGCCTGGTGGTTCTCAGCCTCCCCCCGGGAGCAGGGTGCCTGCCTGCAGCTCTCTGCTGGCACCTTCTGTCACCCTGGTCCCTAGCTGTGGCCCTGCTCTCTGGGCGGGCTGCATAGTACCATGAGAAGGGCTGCCACATGGTGGGCGGGTGGGCAGGGAAGGTCCTGGAAAGTGGATCACATGGTAGACAGGGATGCCCTGGAGCCTGCTTGGCAGGGGTGGTGCCATCAATGTGGATACTGAATCCCTAAGGGCTGCCCTTGGAGTCTTTCCCCTTGTAGCCTCTGACCCCGACCTTCAGCACTTGGTGTGGACGTATGAGCCACACGTGAAACAGGTCTGTGAGGGCAGAGGGGGCGGGTGAGTCCGCTAGACTGGGCTTCACATCCACCTCGGGACAGAAGAGATCGAGGGGGCACAGATTTCCTGTGGGAGCAGGACTGCGCCCTCTGCTCACCAGGGGCCGGGTGGTGGGTGGGTGGGGTCTTCTCTCCACCAGCCCAGAGCTGCCAGGAGGGGCTTCCCAAGAACTCTGTGTCCTTTGTCCCCTAATGCCTAGGAGGAATGTATAAGTAACCTCTGCTCTCTAATTTCTAGGAATTACTTGAATTTTGTCACGGAGGAGATGATCAACCCCTACAGGTACGCGTGTGCACGCAGAGGTTCTGTTACTGTAATGTGAGAGGAGGAAGAGGCCTGGGGCTGAGAACCCGGCCGGGGGGCCAGCCCAGCCTTGGGCAGGAGCAGCGCAGGGCCTGCGGGAGGGGCCATGGGGTTAGGATCATGCTGGGGGGCTGGTTTCTGGGCTGACACCGGCCGCATGGTGGCCGGTGACCTTGGTCAAGAGTCCCCTTCACAATGGGCAGGAACCCCCGTTTCACAGACGGGCAGCCGAGGCCGGCAGGGTTGAATCGCCAGCCCAGGTTCCACAGCTGCCCAATCCCCAGCACTGGCTCCCAGCCACTTGCCCATGCTGGTGACCTGTGCTAGTGACAGTGACCCATGCTGGTGACGGCCTTGCCTCTTGCCACCTTCCCTGCACAGCGAGGCTCAGGACTCGGCCACCGAGTGTTGGAAGCCTGATGGGTCCACTCCTTCCTGGTCCGCACTTTCATGATGTGCCCTTCCCTTCTGGTTCCTTCCAGAAACCTGCCCCTGGCCATCATCATCTCCCTCCCCATCGTCACCCTGGTGTATGTGCTGACAAACCTGGCCTACTTCACCACGCTGTCCACTGAACAGATGCTGACGTCGGAGGCCGTGGCCGTGGTAAGACGCCACCTGCCAGCGTCTACCCAGGTCTCTTAGAGGCCGGCCCTGTTGCCTCCGGGCCCCTCATCTGTCATAGCCACATTTCCACTCAGAGGGGTTGAGCTGTGCTTTGCCAGGCCGGCCAGAAGTATAGGGCTGGTCCCCACCCTGGCTGCACTAGTGATAATCAAGGGGGCTCTAAAGTGCTGATGCCCTGGCCGCACCCTGGGCCAGTTTTAAATCAGCGTGTCTACGGTGGTCCTGGCATCAGTTGCTTTTGAAGCTGGGGGCTGGGCAGCCTTCCCCCTGCTGCCCGGATACACCCTGAGCCACCTCTGGGCGGTGTGGACACGAGGTTCAGAGGAAGGGCGCCAGACTCCCAAACCAAGCAGATGGGGCCCCAAATAGAACCAGCGGGCTTTCGAATGCCCCGCCCGGACCCGGTGGGCTCACCTCCCTCGGTGCCCTTGCCTTCTCACGTCGGCGCGTGAGGCCAGCGCCCGCCAGTTCCAGCTTCTGAGTAAATACTCACTAGTCTTGCTCTGGGCCAGGCACTGGGACCCAGCCCGAGACAGAGCCACGTGTCCTCGAGGGGCAGACATGCCCGTGGGGAGAAGGGCCGCGCACACAGTTGACCTGGTGTGATGCTGGGGGAGAAGGGCCCGAGGAGAGTGCCAGAACGTGGGGCGGGGAGTGTGGCTCAGGGTGTGCTCCCAAGAAAGTCCTGTCCCTGGGACACCTTGAAGTCCAGACCCCAAGGGGTTACTGTGCGTGCCGAAGCCTCGTGACGAGTGGGCGGGAAGGCCATGCAGACAGAAGTGGGCCGGGCGGGGTCAGGCCAGGCCCTGAGGACAGCTGCTGTCCAGGGAGACAAGTCGAGGCCTCCAAAGTCAGAGCCGAGAGCCGGTCGCTCACGCTCACTGTCTGTCTAGGACTTCGGGAACTATCATCTGGGTGTCATGTCCTGGATCATCCCCGTCTTTGTGGGCCTGTCCTGCTTCGGATCCGTCAACGGGTCCCTCTTCACATCCTCCAGGTGAGCCTTGGCCCGGGACCGCCCTTCCGTCACCCAGGCTCTGCCGGAGCAGGAACAGAGCCGGGCAGCTGGGTGAGCTGGCGGGGTGGGTGGCTGCCATGCACGGCTCTTCAGCACATGCTCTGAAAGTGTGGTTTTGTTACGTTGAGTAAGATGTAGCTGTCAAATGTTCGAGTGATACAGAAATAAACGACCGTGAACTCTCCCCGCCACTCCAGTCCCCTGCCCAGAGGTAACACACATGCTGTGTCCTTCTAGATTCTTTCTTCCGTTCATTTCGAACCCTGCCCAGGGGCCTGGAGGTAAGGAAGGCCCCTGAGTTCTCCCCTTGCCAGCCAAGTCATCAAGGTCGCCGAGAGGCCACAGTGGGGACCCCAGCCCTCGGGCACAGGCCCTCTCTACTCCCGCCCTGCCTGGGGTTGCGCGGGGACGAGGCTGACCGCCTGCTCCTCTGTCCGCAGGCTGTTCTTCGTGGGGTCCAGGGAGGGCCACCTGCCCTCCGTCCTCTCCATGATCCACCCGCGGCTCCTGACGCCCCTGCCCTCCCTCCTGTTCACGGTACGTCTGCAGTGCTGTCGGGCGCCCTCCGTTCCCTGGGGGATCACAAGCGGATTGAGGTGGAGACTGGAGTGTCCTCGGGGATCGTCTGGGGGCTCCCCAGAGGGAGGGGGCGGGGAGGCAGGGGAAGGAGGCTGCATGTCCCGTCTGCACGACACCCATCCTGTGCCTGGTGTCAACTGGGCTGCAGACCAAAGGCGGAGACTGAGCTGCAGATAAGTGAACAGGAGCGTTTCCTCATGTTGTGGCCTTCACTGCCACTCCACTGAACACCAAAGAGCACTAGGTTTGTTTTTTTTCAAGTTTTTAATTCTAAAAATAATACATAGTTATTGTAAAGAAACTTCAAACAGTCTGGAAGTGTGCGAGGCCAGGGCTCCACTCCCCAAGGGAACTGCTGTGTGTCGGCAGCCTCATTTGCTCTGTGCCTCTCTGGAGCCTCAGGTGTGTGTACAGGTGTGTGACACACATGGGGTTTGCTTTTGAGTTCTCATTATATGCATTTTTCCCCAGCTTGCCTCATGTCTTTTCATGCCTGTTCCTGCGATTTTATTAGTTCTCTGTTGCTATGTAACAAATCACCCCAAAATGTAGTGGCCTAAATGGAAAACATTTATTGTCTCACAACTTCTGAGAGTCAGGAATTTGGGTCTTGGTCCAGTTCAGGGTCCCTCATGAGGTGGTGTCAGGGCTGCTGTCCCTTCTGAGGGCTCAACTGGGGCTGGAGGAGCCACTTTCAGGCCAAGAGGCCTCGGTTCCTCAGGACGTGGAGGCTGGCTGCCCAGGGCGAGAGAGCCAAGAGGGACAGCAGGGAGAAAGCCACGTGTCTTCTGCGACCTAGCGTCGGAAGTCACACTCCATCACCTCTGTCTCGCTCTGTTTGTTGGGAGCAAGTTGATAAGTACAGCCTGACTCAGGGAGAGAGGCTAGGCTCCACCTTGTGAAAGGAGCACGTTGAATAATATTTGGACAGGTTGAAAACCCCTGCAGGGTTTAATCTCAGTTTTGAAACCATGGTACTCATGGCCCGGATGTGCAGTGGCTCATTTCAGCGATCCCATGATAAGCTCTTGGGCTGCTTCCCGATGATGCTCCCACTGTCAGTGGTGCCTTTACCTCCTTGAGATCTGGCTGCCTTCACCGTTTTCCCATTTGCACTTGCCTCTGCTCTCCCAGAACTCGCATTTTCTCAGACCAGGTCTTCCTCTGAAGCAACAGTGAGCAGGGTGGTCGGCTGCCCCAGCGGATGTCCCCAGCGTCAGGCGGCCCCCGAGGGCTCAGCCGGCTCCCGTTTCTCTGCTTGCAGTGTGTCATGACCCTGCTCTACGCCTTCTCTAGAGACCTCTTCTCCGTCATCAACTTCTTCAGCTTCTTCAACTGGCTCTGTGTGGCCCTGGCCATCACTGGGATGCTGTGGCTCCGCTACAAGAAGCCCGACCTGGAGCGGCCCATCAAGGTGAGGGCCTGGTCAGTGGTAGTCACGCCCAGGCGGTCAGGGGCTCGTGGGGTCGCGCTTGGGAAACAGGTTCCTGGTGTCCCTCAGGGCCGTAGGTCAGGAGCCAACGCCCACACGCCTCTTGGTTCTGCCCCTTCCAGCATGGGCCTTGGGCAAGCCCCCGTCCCTCTCTGAGCACCGTCTCCCTTCTGCAAACCAGGGGAGTTCTGGTGGGTTCTCCAGAGGGTGCTGGTGAGAACTGAGTGGGATACACGTGTGAGTGTGCGTCTGAGCTAGCTGTGGAGGGTTGGTGATTCTGTTGATGACTACGTATTGGGAATCTCTTGAGTGCCAAGCGTGTGGTTCCAGGTGCTGGGGTTCATCAAAGGACACAATAGACCCCCCCAGATCCCTGCCTGTCTAGAGGTTATATTCTAGCAAGAGGTGAGAAGCAGTAAATGAGAAACCTGCAGCACTGGGTGGGAGGGAGATGTGGGGGCAGGCGGGCAGGGTGAGCAAGACATTGAGCAGGACATTGAGCAGGACAGCCGGGGCGGCCATGAGAAGGTGGCACGTGGGCAGAGGTGAGGGGCTGCGTGCTCTGGGGAGAGGGGGGTGCGGGTGGGAGGGGAGCGTGTGGGGCGGGGTGGGAATGACGTCTGAGCCTGTGGGCGCATCAGGGCCTGGCTTTGTTTGAGAGAATAAGGCATTCTAGGACTAGACTGTGCCCGCCTGGAGAAAGCCGAGGTGCCGGCCGAGCCTGGCCTACATGGGCTTGCCCTCTCCTCATCAACTCAGGACTGGGGGACAGCTGCCCGAGGGTAACCTTGTTTCTCGGAAAAAAGGGGGTGATAAAGGTCACGCTCCTGCTGGAGAGGCTGGTGAGCACGTTGGCTGTGACCCCGACGCTCATGTTGGGGGAGCGAGAGCGTGGAGCCTGTGTTGGCTGCTGGCCAGCAGCTCCTGTCCCTTGTCCCGTCTCCAGTGGCATGTGGCTGTCACAGCCAGCACCCATCCACGTGTCTCCCTGACCCAGTGGTCGCACAGAGGACAGTGGGGCCCAGCTCTCTGCCTTGGAGAGGGTCTCCTCGGGGGCCCAGGGCGACCTCAGTGCCCTGGACCACCTTGCTCCCTGCTTGTGGTGGGCCCTGTCCCTGTGTCATCTTGAGCACGTGGTGGGCTCTGTCCCTTTGTCATTTTGAGCACGTGGTGGGCCCTGTCCCCACGTTGGCCTGGGCACGTGGTGGGCCATATCCTTGTGGGGTGGGGGTGCGCAGTCTGGGCTGACCAGGTGGGATCCTTCCTCATCCTTCATCTCCTGGGGTGTCTTGCCGGTGTGTAGACAGAGGGTTGGTTCTGTGTGAGGACAGGCTCGCCCCACATGAGGCACAGTGGATGTAGCAGTGGATCGAGCATCCTTGGAGCCCAAGCCGGGCTGGCTGTGGGCCCCGCTGTGGCTCGTCTGCCTTGAACTCTGCGGGTGGGCCTGTCTGCCCTGTGGTTGTGCAAACTATAGTCGGCCTGTCCACAAACGGCTCTCTGAGAAGGCGAGTGCTCCTCGCTTATTAGTGGGAGGCCACGGTCTTCCCAGAAGCACCGACCCCACCTTTGGGTGGCCGCGGGTAGCGTGCTGGGCCGGGGTTTCTGCCCTCTGTTGTGGGAACCAGAGAGGCCGACCTTCCCTCGGGAAGCCTCGAGGGACCAACCTGGTGGTCTCGTTCACCCATCAGCACCGTCTGTGCTTTGGGTAATTATTGCCCACGCCGACTGCTGAGTGAGGGAAACGGAGAGCAGGGCGAGGTCCCCATTCTCACGAGGCCCCTGGCCTCAGGCGAGGCAGACTCAGAGAAGACCAGCGCAGGTCAGATCCTGGTAAATGCTGGGAGAGTGCCAGGCGATGTGACGGCCCAGGAGGTCAGCGCCGTTCCTGGATCAGGCAGGGGCAGGAGTGGGCTCGGAGCCAGGGCCAGAGGTGGGCCCGAGGGGGAGGGTGACTGCAGTGAGGGCAGAAGGGTGGTGGGGATGCAGTGCTGTCAGCAGTGGGCGGGATTGTGACTGACAGGACATGGGAGGTGTGGGAAGGGGTGATAGATGACTGACGGCCCACTATTAGCTCCTGGCCAATGACCATCACTCCGCCCTTCATCCCCAGGTGAACCTGGTCCTCCCGGTGTTCTTCATCTTGGCCTGCCTGTTCCTGATCGCCGTCTCCTTCTGGAAGACCCCTGTGGAGTGTGGCATTGGCTTCACCATAATCCTCAGCGGCCTGCCTATCTACTTCTTTGGGGTCTGGTGGAAAAACAAGCCCAAGTGGCTTCTCCAGGGCATCTGTGAGTATCTCCTCGGCCGCAGCCCAGCAGCCCGGCAGCCGGGGTCTCCCTCCCTCCCTGCCCCAGGGCCCTCCAGCGCCTCTCCCCAGAACAGGGCTGTCTGCTGCTCTAATCTACTCCCCCCAGCCAGGAGTGGTGGGGGTTTACAGCGTTGGCCAAGGGTCCGGGCACTTGGCGTGTCTGGTAGTGGCGTCTGGCCCACGTATTTTAAGGATAAAATGCTGAGCTTGGCCCCAGCTAATCTCAGAACAAGGGATTCCAGAAAGCCAGGCTGCTTTTGCCAAGTAACAAAATCCCACCATCTGTCGCCAGTTTAAACACAGCCAGCTGACCTAGAAAGGCAGAGAGGGAGAAAACAGTATGCCCACACCTCTGTCACAGGGTCAATTTACAAACCAAGTTAGGACCCTGTACTGAGACCACTGTTAATGTGACAGGCTCCTGGAAAAGTCAACAGTTTCTGCAGGCCTGTACCCCGATCACCTTGTCCCAGGTGGCTTTTAAAATTCCCAGGGTGGCTGTCCTCAAATTCTCATTGGCACCTGCCCAGTGACTAGGAAACTCAGTCGTCTTGGTAGGACTTTGCCCCTGGCCCAGACCATAGGCTCCCTTTTCATCCCCTTTCAGAACATACCCAGGCCTAGGGCAGGAGCCCTCCAGTCCTCAAGCCAGCTCCTAGAGGGAGTGCTTGCAGAGAACCATGGAGGATGGGTGTTCACCTGGGCCCCTTGCACAGACCCACCTGCTCCAGCCCTCTGCAGGACCGCAGGCGTGCAGCCGGCATCCAGCAGTGGGCGCGCTCGCCACCATCCTGGGTGTCTGCCAGGCAGGTCCAGGTGTGGACCCACGAGAAGAGCCTGTCAAACGGCCCTCCAGCAGCAGGACCCCTTACCCCATTACTGTTCCCAATGATCCCGGGGTTCTAAAACAGGGTGGGGGTGGAGCCAGCGCCTGCCTGTTGCCAGGTTCCTCGGCCACACCCCCCAGGTGACTTACAGAGTCACGGGCAGGCACGCAGCCTTTCTCTCTTCTAACCAGGAGTGGAGGCTGGTGCCCACCAGCAGGGAGGCCCTTGGGCTCAGTGTACAAGTGCACAAATCCGGAGGTTTTACATAAAATTCTGGGTTTCTGGCTTCTCTTACAACTTTGGAAGGTGTGTGATGAGAGGCTGGGTGAGCCGAAGCTCACATCACTAGCTGGTGCCCTGGCCCCCAGGCACGTGACCCCTGATAACTCCATTCTCCTCTCCCCTCAGTTTCCACGACAGTCCTCTGCCAGAAGCTCTTGTACGTGGTCCCCCAGGAGACATAGCCAGGAGAGCCGAGACGCTGCCAGAAAGAAATGCACAAAGATCGTTTTAAAACAACTCACCCACTTGAAAAGCCACCCCGGTCCCATCATCCAGGCAGCTCAGCTGAGCGCCCCGCTCCGTCCTTCCACCAGGTCGGGCGGCGGGGGCCACTGTGAACACTGGTACGAGTGTAGTCCCAGAAGACGGATGCCCATCGATACCTCCGCAAGTGTGCGAGGCGCGAGTGTGCCAGGTGTGACTGCTACACAAGAAGCAACGCGGCTTCAACCGACCACGGACTTTTTGCCAGTTGGGTCCTCTCCCTTCCCACCTTCATTTATTTGTATTATTTTTTTTAACTTAAGTTTTGGGTCAAGTCGACGCCACAAGATGATTATTTTTTAAAGAAATGGTGCAGGGAAACAGGAGGAGAGTCTTTTTTCGCCTGACACCCCCACAGCCCCATGTGCCTCAGAGGGACCAGGTCCTGTCGCTGGCATGACTCCTGGGGCCACATTCCTGCATCATGACCCGGGAGGAGAGGGATTCTGAGAGCAAATGCGCCAGCCCCCAGCAGAGCTACTGAGACTGGGCCTCGCAGTGTGGACTTTGGACTTGCCCTGACCACGGACAGTGGCCCACCACATGCACTGGGCGCCCTCGTATTTTGTTGTTGTAGATGTAGTGACTTTAGTGAAAACCAGCCCCGGGGCTTGTGTCTTTCTGCCTTAAAGACCCGAGGTAGACCTCTCCCCCGGCCCCAGAGGAGAGAAGGAAAATCTCAAGGAAATGGCCATCTTCGAACAAAGGACTAGGGCTGATGCTGATGCTGGGCCGGCTTTGCAGAGAGCCAGTTCCTATGCCTAGTGTCTGCTGCTGCTCTTGTGGGGGCCGGGGGGGCGGGTAGGATCCTAGCAGAGGTCAGAGTCTGAGCAGAGGTCACGCACTGGCAGCTGGGCGATCCCAGAGCTCTGGCCAGCACTGCTGCCCGGGATGTGCAGAGCAGAGTGGGCTTCTGGGCTAGACCTCGGTCGCTCAGGACGCCGTTGGGCTCTGACTTTGTACATCCCGCCCTGGACGTCAGCCTGTGCAAAGGCACAAAGGCAGGAGGATGGGGCACCTCCTACAGGCGGGCAGGTGGGCAGCATGCCAGGCCTGGCCCATCTGCGTCAAGTTTGGGAGCCGAGTTCTAGCTTTTTCAAAGTCCTCTACTTGAAATCTTCTAGAAACAAACACTACAAGAAAGGCAGACGCCTCGGCCCCTAATGGGCTTCTCATCTAGGGCCTGCAGGCAGCCCTCTCCCAGGGTCTGAAGAATTGGCCTTGCTGGCTGGACGGCAGCCCCGGCAGACTGCCTGGGGCAGGCTCCTGGCTCCTGGCCGAGGCACCACCACCTCCTCCTCTGCCACCTCCTCGGCCTGTCCCAGGCTCGATTCCAGCTGTCAGGAAGCTGGAGCCTTCTTCACTGCCTGACTCCGCACCTGCTCCGGAGGCCACCCTGACTCTCCTGGGGTCTGACTCCCGGTGAGAGAGCTGCCCAGTGCAGCACGCCCACCCCCCTCCCTAGAGAGACTATGCTAGCAGGCTTTTGTTTCAGCGGTTCCCATGGCACTCTCCCCGGGGGAGGCAGCTGAAGCCTGGCCAGTGTGTCCGGCCACCGGCTGGCTTTCCTGAGCAGTCACTACATCCCAGGAGCCAGCTTGAGGAGCAATGTCATCTAAGGTCAGATCATCTCCCTCCAAGCCCCAGTGTTAGGGACTGGTGGCTCTCCCGTGGCCGCTGACTGCTGACCTTACCACCAACGGGGCAGTTCAGCTGAGCCCTCGGGCCTCAGGCCTCACAGCTCAGCTCTGGCCGGAGGATCTGCTGCAATCTGCAGGGTGCTGCCTGAGCTCCGAATGGCCAGACCAGCCTGCCGCCATCCACCTGGGTTCCGGGACCCCCACGTGGTCCGAGGGGCCCAGAGAAACCTGACAAGCAGCTTCGGGGCCTGGGCTGGGCATTGAGGCCGAAAAGGAGTGGCCCAGCTGTCCATCCTTCCCACTTTGTGCTGGAGGAGGAGGCAGGCTGGTCAGGAAACCTGTGCCACCCTATGGCTCCTGATGTGCGAGGACCAACTAGTACGAAAGTCTCCTCATGTCACCTAAATACTCCCGGGGCCATATTCCACTCATCTAGGGGTGCGGCCCAATATCTGAGAGAAGACCTGATTTCAGACTCTGTGCTGGGCAGAACCCCTGCCCTGGACCCCCGTTTTCTCATCTGCAGTGGGGGCAGGAGCCAGTGGTCTTCTGCCGGTGGGCCTGTGCACATCCAGGAGACTGAACCTGGTATGACCACAGCTGCACCTGCAGCCCCCAGTGTCATGCACTGCCCACCTGCGTGTCCACAGGGTGTGGCTGCATCTCAGCAGAATGTCGGCCTCTTCCCTCCTGGGCCTGGGGAGGATACTTGGGAAGCCATCGTGATTCAAACGGCTGGCTCTGGGAGGGTGGACACTGCCTTGCAGGATGCAGGGAGCCTGGTGGCCCTGTGCAGACTGCAGTGGCCCACTTCAGCAGCCTGTAGATGGGCGTGGGGACCCACAGTGTGCATCATGGGGGACTAGGGCGGTGTCACCCCTGCAGGGTGGACTGGGGTCCTGGGGTTCCCTTTTCAAACTGAGGCCGGGGGCTGGAGGGGGCGCTGAGAGGTCAAAGGCAGCTCTGAAGTGGCTCTCCACTTCTCCCAGATGCTGGGACCTCTGCTGTAAAGGGGGGGTCCGGGGGCCGGGTCTGTGATTCTGGGGGCTGTGACTCCCACCTAGCCCAGGGACGCCTCAGAAGGAAAGGGCCACCTGGGGCTGCATCTGTGGTGCTGAGTCAGGCGGCTTGCCCACGTGTGCCCTGCGGCCCTGCTGTGTCGGCATTCTGGGGAGGCAGAGACCTGCTTTTTCTGACCACTCTACTGACGTGTCCTGAGCGTTCACTTTGTGGGGTTTAGTTTTTTTGTTAAACCAAACCCTGCAGGGCACAACAAGCTAGCGTTTGTTCAGTTGTTCTGGTGTTTTGTTTTGTCCTAACATCTCACTAATTTAAAGGATGCTGTCGGCACCATGGTTATTTATTTGCGGGGTCTGTGTCCAGCCCTGTGCTTCCCGGGGTGTTCGCGCCACATCAGTGCTGCGCGCTGTGAGGGCAGTGCCCGCGGGGTGCTTCCGCCGTGTAATGACGTGTGTGGCTTCAATGTCTCTCTCGAGCGTCCTATTAATGGCTAACCTGTTACACTTGGCTGGTTGAGGTGGGGACTTCTGTTTTTTTCTGTGGGGTTTTTTGTTTGTTTTTAAAGAAAAAGGATCAAATTATAAGTACTGCTTGTGGTCTTCTGTGTTCTTTTCTTCAGCGCCGACTTCGGGGTGTAGGAATGTTCCCGGGGATGCCTCCCCCAGAGGGGGTTGATCGTGTGCCTCTTGTCCCGCCTCATTCATTCATTCGTTCACTGACAGCTTCCTCAAGGTGTGGGAGGCCAGACAAGCTGGCCTCAGCCCCTGCCTCTGGGGATGGATACACGCTCGAGGGGTGAAGAGGCCGAAGGGAGTCAAGGGGGCTGAGCGGGAATTCAGATCTACCTCTCAGGCAGGGCTTTGAAGGTGAGACCAAGGGGAGAGTGGAGAAAATGTTCCAGGGCCCAAGGCGGGAAGAGCTTGGCCTCGTGGGGCCAGCAGTAACTCCAGCCTTCAGGCGACTGATCAGGGAGGAGGCACGTGCCAGCTTGGGGAGGGAGGGAAGGGACACGCACGGCTCCTCATTTCCACGATGTCTCTGAGAATCTCGTCACAGCTGCGGGGAGAGCAGGGCTGAGAGCCACGGACAGCACTCATTCAGTTCAGGCAAACTCCATTCCTCACGCTGGGGTCTGAATGGGGCCTTGAGGACGGGAGGGCTGTGGGTATGCCAGGATGGGAAGGATGTGTGGGGCAGTCACAGCCTGAACCACGGTGAGGGCAGAAGGACCATCCACGGCAGCTCTAGGTGAGGCCAGGCCAGGGGCGCGGGGGCCCAAACGGCTGGGACTGGGGGCCTCGGGTGCTCACCAAAGGGGCTTCCACTCCACCCCACAGGCAGCAGGGCCCCCAGACGGGCTGGAGCCAGGGAGTGCTGCCCAGAGCCACCGCAGTGGGCAGGTGCCCCACTGAGTGCCAGGACCCCTGTGCTGCTGCCACTGGTGAAAACACCGGGGTCCACCACATCCTGGTCACACGAGTGTATCCCTGCATACTGGACCCCACAGCCAGGCAGGCTGGGGCTCCAACAGGCCCCCCAAATAAGCACATGTTGGAGGAATTCTCCCCTCCCTGCAGGCTGGGTGGGGGTAGTGAGGTTTTCAGCGGACAGGTAGGAGACAGGATTGCAAAGCCCGAGTGGGTGAGGGGCTGCCTGCACAGGCTGACTCGGCACTTGCCTGCCTGGCTGTGCCCGCACCCCAAGCTGGACGCCCTCCTGCCCTGCCCTCAGCAGTCAGATGCCCACGTGGTTGCCGCTCCTGGCCGGGCTCCACTTCCTGCTAGAACTTTTACTCCAGGGGCAGCTTTGTGTGAGGCGCAGATTGTGATGCATCAAGAGGCGCATTAAGATCCCACTTCCATCTGTGTGGATGCAGGCAAGAAACGTGGTGGAGAGAGGCCGGCGTGAAGATTGGGAACCTCGTCAAGGCTGTCCCGAGGCCCTCGCTGGCCCCGGCAGCTGGCCCTGACCCCAGCCCAGGGACGGGCTCTCCATTCACTGTGGCTGATGGAAAAGGATCTTGACACTTGAAAGGACGGCTCTCGAACCAGCCCAAACAAACTTGTCCCACGCGTGTGGTCAGAGCGGAGCTGTCCAGTCCAGCTCTTCCTTTAGGAGAGAGGGGAGAGAGAAGGTGGGGTGAGAGAAAGATTGAGACAGAGATGGGGGAAAAGGAGGGAGGGGGAGAGAGAGAGGTCACGGGGGTGGGGGACCAGGGATACATTCACACAACCACCTACAGTTACTCAACCCCTTGCGTAGAGAGGAGTGCGTTTATGTTTGGAGAGGGAGAAGGAGGAGGAGGAGAGGAGGCAAGAAGACAGTGGGATGCCACCTGCTACAGGAGAAGACTTCTCCCCGTGATCCCCAAATTCCTAGAAAATCCCACCAGGCTCGCCAGATTCTCCTTGTCTGTGTGGAACTGGCAAACGGGTCCTGCCC